CAGGCATACTCTTGTCACTGTTTCCTCCGTTTTCAATGACTTGGCAAATGCCTGAGGTAGTACTTGCTGATAGTTTATATTTTGATAATATTTAAAGTAGCAATATGAGTGCATGTGTTCTCACATCCACTGGAAGAATACTCTATGCTGCTCTAAGGCTCTTTGTTTTTCATATGCACAAATCAAACAAGATCTATATTCTTGTGCAGGAACTGGACCATTTGTTGCCTCTGTCTTATTTTGATAATTTTCTGTACTTTAAACCAGTCTTAATTATAAGCTGCTTTACATTACCACATTTGCTAAGTCATTGAAAAGGGAAGCTTTACTCACAAGTGTCTCTTGGGTGTAATTTCTCTCAATGCTTGCACTGTTAAGAAGTTTACTGATTTAGGGAAGAGATCTATTTTAGAAATGGTTGAATTAATGTTAAATATGTATGTATGTTCTATTCTTTCACATGATGTTTCAAAGTTTGTCTGTTTTATACCACAATTAAGATTCTTAATAACTGTAAAATCAAGTAATGAAGAAGGTTTTTACATAAACAATATCTAGAACCTAATAAATGAGTGTTTGAAAGATAAAGTATGTGGTGTATTTTCATAATTGACTGTAAGGAGGAAAATCAGTATGGAGAGGAAAGAGCCCTCTACTTCTGAAGTGGCCCACATTGGAGCTGAATTGTTTTTTTTTAAGGGGGTCATTTGTGAGACAGCTGAAATTTTGGGGGCCTTTTTGGCCCTTTTAAATTCTAATGTGGCTCCAGTATTTTCCAAATTAGCTCTTCACAAGGTCAAATGTGGCCCTTGCAACTGGGTCAATTTAGCCCAGATCAACTTTGATTTTATCGAAGACCTGACAAGAATTTATCTGTGGTCTGCCAAGACACATTATTCATAAAGGAAAAACAACGAAAGCATCATTCAGTCTTAGCAAATCTATCAACACACGAGTCTTTACCAGAATCTTACCTTGTTCCTCGATTGAAGCGGCTAGCTCATCGCGTCCGACGTTTCTAAGTAGCCATACCAAATAGGACACGTCTTCTAGGCAGATTTTATAGTGATAGCGTAAGAAGCTCAAAACCTCGCGTGGGTTTTTGATAGGATGGAGCTTTTCTCGTGGTAAATAATTATTGGTTTGTGGTCCGTCACAGAGAAATTTCATTTTCTCCAACTCTTCCTCTGTTATTTGGTCAGCAATCTGTGCCAAGAAAGCATTGAACTCTGCTGTATTTCGAGCGGGTAGCAAAATATTCAGTGGTCGAGTGGACTGCGCCATTTCTGACAAAATGTCCCGTTTTTAGTCACGCAAACGAAGCAAATTTATGACTGAAAGCCACAAAATGTTGAGGGTGAGTCGAGACAAGCAGAACGGCCCGGAAATTGACACCTGATTACATTTGAAGGCAAACTTGATTGCATATATAATTATGAATGGAGGGGGGTCAGTGTTGCGGTATTCGTATAACCCCGCTTGCTGGTTCAAACAAATCAGGAGGACTGTATCTTTCGATGTAATAACACGATTTACTCCATCCCAACAGTCTATTGCGATATACAATTCTCATATATTCAACGGTCGTAACACAGCGATCAAAGCTCAACGATCAACTAACACATTCTATGTACAATGAGGTTTTTTCTACTGTCCTTGCGTAAGGCGGTATTTTTACATTAATCACATGCACAGTAAGAGTTCCCGTTGTAATGTATCTAAATTAAGTGACTATTACAAAATCGCAGGTTCTTTCACCTTATTTAGCCTGAGAAAATCGGGCTAAATAAGAAAAAGAAAATCATAAACATACTCGGACTTTGTCTACATTATTGTGAAATCTAATGTCACGAAATCTAATTTCTTTACGTTACAAATGTCAATTTCTAATTAATATTTAATCACAAATAATCAATTTAAGCATTACCTATTTATTTCCCGTCAGTAAGTTCCTGTAGAAACTGTGGTGCTGGGTTGGTAGGGGAAAATAACAGAGTAATGAATGAGTTGCCAATGATAGATCTGGGATCGGCACGGGGTAAACATTGCAACTTGCAAAGATCCGATTACTGACAACTCATTCAGTCAGTATTATCGACTGAGAAAGAAATTCGCTCTGACGAAGGGCTAACGTTCGAAACGTCGGCTTTGAAACTCTTTCCAGTAGCCAATTAACGTTCTCATAGGATGTTTTGCCTGAAATAGGTACTTTTGAGTACCGAAGTGTGGGTGCAAAGGCGGGAATTTCATGTATCTTAAAATAGGGAATGAATTAAAAAAGACTGTTTTAGTCCAGAACATTTCTCGTTTTTAATGTCTCGTTAGGAAATATTTCAGGGACTCAGTTTAACAATCTAGATATGTGTGACAGTGATCCCTCTTTCTAAGGAAGCATAGGAAACAGGTACGTTTACCTTTTGGGTTAAAAGTAAAAAAAAAATTGCCAGAGTTTGCGCATTAAAGCAGAACATCCAACAAATCTTGGCCCTTTTGCCAAAGGATGGGAAGTACTGTAAGCTGAAAAGCACCAAGGAACACAATTTCAAAAGTGGTTCCAAGTGACATAAATTTGAGTAATCATCATTTTTTTCCTCGTGTAATAATATACATGGAAAAATTACTAATGTGAGGATGACTGTCCTCGATGCGATTTTTTAAATATGGCTTTTCAGTGTTACAACTTTACACTCGTGTTACAACTTTACACTCCTGTTATATGAAAATTGCACTGATTTTCAGCCAATCAGACAAGCGTAATTTTTTTTCATGTATATTATTCACAAATACATGGCTCATGTAAATTGATTGTCTTTGAAACGTTAACTAGTGCTTATGAACACCAAATTGCACTCGAAACCATGTTATTACCTATACAAATTGACAACATGTATAAAAGAAAAACAAATTAACACACAGGCATAAACAAAATGCATCAGTAACACAAACATTTGTTAATTGAAAAAATTTTAAATTGCATTTCTAACCAACCAATCCTCCATCTGATTATGACATTTTGTTCACAGTAAGTTCTGCAAATATTATTTTTTCTTTATGTAAGGGGAGGAGGGGTATTAGACTGATACGTAGCATACTATTAATTATGTCATATCTCCTAAATTTTGTAAGACTCAACAGATACTTAATTAAAAGGCAACATTATTCAGGCTGTACTGCGTGTACATATACTTCCCAGTAGAAAAGAAGAGGAGATACAACAAGCTTTAAGAATTACTAGTACAGCTGCGGCTACTAAATTCATTTAATCATATTCAATTGCACAAACAAGCTTCATATTCTACTTTTGTTTGCTTAATTACACTGTAGGAGAGGCATATGTACATCTAAGCCTTGTAATGGGAATTTCTCTTTACACAACATTGGAACTACCAATTGAAGCTGAAAATGTTCTAAAAAAATTGTTTTAAAATATTACATGTATGTCAGCTGAATATTACACATAATTAGGACTAAGACGTGTTTTGATGCTACTTAAAAGATTTGATGAATGTTACCGAGAAGTTACGATTCATAGACCCAACGTTTCAATACTCCTGTCTAATGCCTTCATCAGGGGTGGTCTTTATATGCTGCAACAAGAGGTCCTTTTATATTCTCACTAATTAGCTGCCCTTTTTCTGAGAAGGTGTAAATAGGTGTCAGGTAGTAAGCCGCCATCATCACAATTTACGCAAGGGTTGGTTGCATAACCATGTGTGGTTATTTATTCTCATCTGCATGCCGCCTTTCGTTTCAATCACCAGTGTTTGTATATTAGTTGAATTCAATAACGTTATTTAATAGTCTGGTTATTTATTTTTAAGACCACTCTAGTTCCTTTCTTTCTCTCTTCTTTTCTTTTTCCTTTTCTTTTTTTGTCACAGGACTTTTACGGACGGGAAATGTAAATGATCAGGATAGGTGCATAAATGCCTATTTTGCTGGTAAAAATTTCGAGCCTAAGCTCAACAGCGAAAATTATGAACTGTTGCAGGAGATGGATTAAGCTTTTAAAATTATTTTCCTCGGTTCATAGTCATTGTTAGAGAATAAAAAGTCGAGCATTTGCAACAACGCCTAAGAGAACAATATCTGCCGCATGCCTGACAGTTGACACGCAAGTTGCAACTATTTTTTATGATTGAAATAATATGACTATAACGTAGCAAAAAATCGCGCACGGAGTAATTTGCGCTTCCTTCGTGCTGGCTGAGAAGCGGCTTATAAACATTGCACTTATACAACGGAAAATTATTGTCTCCTCCGGCATTGATTTTAACCTAGCTACAGCATAAGTACATCATTCGTTGAATTCGTACTAAATTATATTGAAAGTAAATTAAACTTACCAAGATGGTTTACGCTTCTATGGATGAGACTTTGAACGCTTATCGGGCAAACGCGTCATTGCTAGCGCTATCAGAAACTTAGAAATTATGGTTCATGGCGCTCCTGGGGAGTAATGAAATCATCAAAGGTGGCAAGATTCCAAACATAGATTGAAGGCGAACCTTACGGCGACGTAGTTGGAAATTTGTATCCGCACTTAACAAGATATATTCCCCTATGATAACATTTGAACTAGAAATACTTTTATTAAAACCTTCATGTTCTTTTGTTTTTGAAGTAAACAGCTAAAACACAAAGTCGAAGTAGAATCCTATGTGCAACAGCTTTAACATGTAACTATTCTCTGGGTCTTTTAATACAAACGGGTCAACTTTTTGATCAATTTAGAAACACTTATGTTACTTGATGAGTGCATATTGTCGAATGACAACAACCGTGATCAAAAGAAACAACAGATAGCCACGAAAAAGAATTTTTAATTTAGCGCAAATTAATTGTTTATCGATAAGCTTCCTAGAAACTTGACCACGAACATTCAACCCCTTTTTGACGCGCTCCGTCGCGTGAACGAAAAAAAAATGCAGACTTAAGTTTCGATGCGCCTCACTTCCAGAGTTCCGCGCGACGCGCTAACATCAATTTTTTTACACTGACCTTTTTTGAGCCGCGTGAGGGACTTCGCCGAAAAGGCGGGACTACTCGTAGTAAACTTACAAACATGCACTGTAGACAGAAAAATATCACCCTGATGGAAGAAGCTAAATCTACATCCTCCTGGAAAGTTGTGTCAGTAGCAAAGTTTTATTACAAAATTAGCCTTAAATCTCACAGATGTAACTCACTTAAGTCTTTTCAGTTGTATTTTTGTATGTACAGCCTGTTTTTATACTTGTTAACGTTTTAAATAAACATATTACGATATCTGAAAATATACCTCCTCAAAGGAGAGAAGTCGTCGTCAGCGTAGATGGAAATTGTTTTTATCAGCTTTTGCTCTTTAAAAGGATGAAATAGGCGATGAAAAACAAAAGGAAATCCCTGGAGAAAAATCCAAAGGTTTTTTAGCCGCCAATTACCTCCTCGAACTTCTGGAAGGATCTTACATCTGTGATGATAAAAGAAGGCAAAAACTTGCTTTTGATACCAGTTGACATAAGTTTTGTATAAATGCTTCAGTCTGTTCACCAAGACCCAAGAGTTTTACCTCGAGCTTCGGTTTTGAGAATACGCAATTAACGAGGATTTGATCCCCGTTTGTCCATCACATTACTCATTTTACTCACTGTGTTTTTCGTGATCTTGTGGTCAGGACCCAAAAGATCGTTTTGAATTACTAAGGCCTTATTAAGCTCCCCCAAAGCCTTATCGAATTGTCCTTGAAGAACTAAGACATCGCTAAGCTGAACGCACGAACGAGCTGTATCCTGATGATGACCCAAGAGCCTCTCTCGTCGCCCTTGAGCCTCCCTGAAGTACTTCTCGGCCTGGCTGATGTAATCTCTTTCAGGGTTTCCAGCCGCAAGGGCCTTGTACGAGACAGCGATATGGGACAAAATTGAAGCTGTCCAGGGGTGGTCACCAAGCTGATCGTTGTAAACTGGCAGAGTGTTCTCTTTCCAGATGTCGATTGCTTTTTGATGATCACCACACAATCGATAAGAATCTAACAAAGTGTGAGAAGTGTGAAGACAAGATATAACTTTTACGTAGTTAAATGAACCCTTACCGCGTTTCAAAAAGAAACAACTGATATGGATAAAGAGACTGACCTCTGATTCAAAGCCGGTACGCGTCGAGGGTGATTTTGTAAATAAAGCTTGTAAGCCCTAAACTTTTAAAAGGCTCTTTCTCAAATGGGTATAGAAACATTAGTTTCCTTCTCAAATGAACAAATCCTTCCCCAGATCACAAATCAACTCATTGTCAGACTAACCAAGGAATATCAACCTTTTAAACCACAAGGTTCCTAACTTCGAATTTTTCCTTCCAATAGCACCTTTTGAATCAAACATTAAGCGCATGAAAAATAAATCAAATGATTGCCAATCAAAGAAGCGAGATCTTGGTTGTTGACTAAATTCTCCTTGTCAATTACTTGTGTGGAGAATATGTAAGCGGAAGTTAGGCTGTTAGGGATCAAACATTCAGAGTTGTTTGTTTCACTTTCACGTCGAAGCCTATAGAAAAGACCGTTCCCTCTTTCTCCATGAAAGACGACGAGATTCCAATACATAAGTTTAGTATCTCCCTTTTCAATTCTCATTTTATTGGAAATTTATTTGTTTTCTCTCGGTTAATTAAAAGCGAGCGCCCAATTTGGAATTTTACAGTGCGCCTTATCATCCTTTTAGCCTCCATCCAGTCTCCAACAAGGATACGCGGGTGTTATACGGAGTATAACCCAAAAACTTGACTTACTTCCAAGGTCACAGTATCCATGAGCAACATACAAACGGTTGTTCAAAGATTCTCTTATTAATATTCCTTCCTGTATGAGCTCTCGTCCTTTTTTTTCTTCTTCCTGCGAAACAAAGAACTCTTGTAAATATCCGGGTCCAGTCTACAGGAGTGAAGCAGACTCGCCCATTTTTGCCTTTATTGATAAACTTTCATCAGATTTTCTACAATCTTCTGTACAAGAGGAGAACTTGCACACCTCACCATGGCATTAGATTCTCATGAGCCCCACAAAAAAAACAATGCAGGGATAGTACTTAAAAAGGAAGCCATTGAAAAAAATTATCCTTAAAAAGGAAGAAATAAGAATGAAAATCAACACAAAAGAACGGCACACCGTCTTCTTTTATGTTTACTATGATCTCACCTGCAATACCAAACATACTCCGAGCTTACTGACGGTGTTCGCATACGTTTGAGACTTTTTTCCTTCCTCTGGTAATGTCTTGCACATCTCATATGCTTCCTGAAACTTCGCAAGTATGGCTGGGTTTTCTTCAGGGCTATCTTTGCTGTGAGACACGTCACAGAGACGACGGAATCCCAGTGAATTCAAGCTCTCTGCATGCCTCTTCTTATCGCCGGACGCTTTAGCAATATCACAGCATTTCTGGTACAGCGCTCTGCACTCTTTAGGGGGCGTTAGAACTTTTGCCACAAAACCCAGCACTTCTGTACTGTTAACGACGTCTAAAACGAAATGTTTGTCATCTAAATCGCTGGACTCTTTGAGACAATTCTTCAGCGCTTCCATGATGTTCGCTTTCTGCTGTCGAAACTCACTGATCGCAACCAAAGCTGAATCTTTGCTAATAAATACTTTGCTCAAGAATCTCAGCTGACTAAGGTAATGATGGTTAAATTTTCGCTGAGTGGTGCGCCACAGGTCACCCATGCCTAAAGATTCATTCTCTGTCCGGAGGTAGGCTTGGATCAAAAGATGCATCCTCATCTTTCCCTCGGCCTCCCTCTGAAGAAGAGCATACTTGACCATCCTGGTCTTCTCTGTTTGACAATGTAAAGGATCTTCAAAAAGAAACTGGATGTCTTGAGCTGAGAACTCCGATGGGAAAACAGAAAAAAGGACAAGATTTTGTTTTACCTCATTGGAAAAGTTGTTAAAAAATACTTCCAGCGTGTTATAAACATCGTTCGCGCTGATCCTGAAAAATTGTATGGGATTGTTTCCGAGCTGTTGGATTAACAGCTCGCGACTGAAACCATTGTTCAGCAAGTCAGAACAGGTCACAAGAAGGAGTGGTATCCCACCACATAATTTAGCAAGTTCCTTGGAGTGTTCCTCACTACAGTTCCCAACAAGACCCTGGAGCAGTTCAGCAGACGAGTCGGGATCCAAAGGTTTGAGAGGAAACTTACAAACGTCTGCCGATAAGAATCCAACATCTTTTTGAGTAGTGATTATCAACTTTACATTCGAGGCAGATTTCACGAGCCATTTGGTGAATTTATCAAATTCCTCGCCCTGTATATTCTCACTGTTGTCTAGTACAATGACAGTTGGGATATTTTGCTCCGATAGTTTACGTTTCGCAAGAGAGATAACATCAGCGGTTTGCGACCAAGTGCGACTACTTAATCGATCAAGAATCTCCCTGCAGATATCTACTAGCTTCCGATGATGACTTTCTACTCGAATATGCGCAACAAACTGGTCTCCCCTTTGCTTTAACAAGTGACTTACACGGATTCCCACTTCAGTCTTCCCCATTCCTGGGATAGAAAGAAGAACAACCATACGAAATGTCTGCAGTTTCTTTACGATTTCATTTACGTCCACGTCTCTTCCAACAAAGTGTGCAGTTAAACATGGAAGATTTCGAGGTTGACCACCCGGCGACGACGGTGAACCTAGTAAACGGATATTAGAAAAGAAAGAAAAAGTTTGAACAGATACATGAACGGTAGCCGACCACAACAGTGTCCCACAAACAAATTGAGGATATACCATTGAAAAATTAAATATAAGATTCTAGATAGGCCCTTAAAGATTGTGCTAGCACAATTTTTGGCATTATAATATACATGACAAAATTACGCACGTCTGATCCACGCATCTGATGAGACGTGGCTATCAAAGAGAATATCAAGAAACATTAAACAAAACATAAGGGTATGGAAGTTTTTTTGAGTGGTTTTTTTTTTATAGAAAAGCAGTATCCATATCTGGGAGCTTTTTCAGGCAGAATTCATGTTTGTAAGTGTTGTGTCAAGACACTTTTAGAGGTCAGGAGCATTTTTAGCGAGAGAAATCTTCAACCCCATGTTGGGGCAGCTCACTGCCCTAATGAGTGCTATGTAAAAAAACAACTTCTTGGAGCTATCTAATGCAAGGACAGCTAGCTTTAGCTAGATTGGAACAGTGCAATCTTATTATTTACACTCTTATGGGAAATTAGTAGTACCTGTTAAATTTGACAAAGAACTGTGGGAGCAATTGTTGGGAAGCTATCGAAGTTCTTTGGGAACACATGGTGCCTGAACTCCTTAGTAGAAAGATTGATGAAGAGGTTACTCACGCCTGACTAAGCCTTTAAGAACCTTTCACAATAGAATTCAAGCACCATCTATGTTAAAATTAATTTATACACTTCCGCAACACTAGTTTAGGAGGAAGGGGCATAAGAGTTTTCACTAATCTATAATCCCACTACCGTCTTCCGTACTCTTCCAAAGCGTCATTTCGAGCCTTCTGAAAATTGGATCTCCAACAATAGAGGAAACTAAGGGAAGGATATCCTGGCAAGCTTAATAAAACCAAATGTGCCTTAACACTTGTAGCAAACACTTGAACAAGACATATTAACTGAAAATTTTTCATTAGCATCGAATGCGTATAAACGTTTCCAAAGTGCTTATAATAACTGGCGTTACTCACCAATTATGTCCGGAAAATGCCTTGATATTATCTGTATGGCGTCCTTTCGCTGGATCTCTTCAAGTGCCTTTGCAACGTCACTTAGCGTTGTTTCAGGGAACCGAGCGGCCACCCATTCTAAGACCTCTTTGGTAGGACTTTTCCTGCATTCATTGATATCAGCAAACTCTCGACGCACGTCAGCTGGTACTTCCAACTTACAGGCCAGATGTATATAGTTTTTGACGCCGATGTTATCATCTCGGTTAAGTTCTTGTGATATCCTCTCTAAGAGTTCCGACCCAGGGGTAATGACATCCTTAAGTAACGCGTCATCTGCAGTGAAATATGTCCATGAATCATTTTCTGTTAACATCCATGCAAAGGGGCCAAAGAGATTATTTTCGCCCAATTGATTTGTGAAATATTCATGTAGCCAATAGCACATAAGGCTCTCTATGAGAAAAATCTAAATAATTGATAAACCTGACTTTTAACTTTACAACTAAAAAAAATAACCTCTAAGGACCGTTGGTATTTAGCTCAGTTAAAATCGAGAAGCATCTTGGAAATGTTTTATAATTTTATGTCAGGTTATTCGCAATATGCAATGTTGAGACTTTACCTTCTAGGTTCTTATTTTTAAGAACGTCCATCAAATCCCTCCTCTCAATAGAATCCAGAGCTTCCTTGAGACTTCTAAGTGTCAATTGTGGGCAACTGGTAGCCAAATACTGGAACAGTCTGCCGGTAGGATTTTCTGCGGATCGTCTTTCCAACGTCCAGCATGTGATTCTTTGGACGCCTAGTTTAATCGCCAAGGTGTACCAGTTTGACAAAACCAGTGACCGCCCATCCAGAGCCAAGGCAAGTTCGTCCAAAATACCAGCTCTGGGTGAAGGAGCTTTACTTGGTTTAGTAATTACATCGATAACTTTCTCAGAGTCAGTACAATCACCTAATAAATATAATAATTATAGACAGCGGAATTATAAAATCATTAAGGACATCAAGGCAATGAAAAAAGACATGATATAAAACAACAAACAGAACAACTCATAATTCACTTTCATGCAGTGTTTCTCATGACACGCGCTTCCTATGTCATGTAGCTGGTCAAGGACTGCACTATTCAACCGAAAGATTAGTCCTTCAAAACCTAGTTTTAAGCTGTCCACAATCCGTGTACTTTGGACAGTTCACAAATGAGTCATACATGAGACAACACCGTCCCTAAGAAGCAAACACAACACTAACAAGCTGTTTCACCAAGCAGTATCAAATTCTGCCTTTATAGAGCTCCTTAAGAGGAGCACAATCTCTCCGAAAGTCCCTCGTCAGTAAGTCCCCTTAAATGATGACACAGACAGAATAGCCTTACATTTGACTATGATTATTTTTTTGTTACCTTCTGTGGTCAGTAAACTAAGTAGGTCGTTTCTCCCGATCTCCAACATGGTCTCTTTTAGCTCCTTAATCGTCAAATCTGGTTTCGAGGTCTCAAGAAAAGAAAATAATCGAACTGTAGGACTGAAGTCACCGTACTGTTCTAATCGTTTTATGACATCCACTTCAACTTCCAGCTTTGATGCTAAATGTTTCCAATTAGGTATCAATCTCACATCCCGGTCCAAGCACAAACTTAACTGTTCCATAAATTCTGGATTACCTCTTAGAATGTGGGTTAACTTGGACTCTAAACATCAAACAGAGTAAAATATTATTTGCAATTCAATTCCCGGAAATTTATTCTGAACCGACTTTTTTCGAAGAAACGAATATGACTAACCTAGTCAAGAATCAGACATGAATACAGTGTAAAACGGAAGTCCATGATACCTAAATGTAAACGAGAAACATGCCCACTAAAAGAATAAAATGCTCGGGCCAATAAAAAAAATGGGGTCAATTTATTGCTCTAACGATGAACCATTTCTAACGCTCAATGAAGCATGGAGGCGATATTTAAATTTTCACGCTGGCTGATGTCATTGCGCATCTGTGTACCTATATTACTTAGTAAAAGCTTTGAAATTGTTAGCGCTATGATAACGATAGAATTGAAATCCTTATCGCCTATGATCGTCCGATGTATGTCTTGTTAGTAACCTAATCGTTAACCACTAAGAACTCACTACGTCGTGATATGTGCGACCTGGCGTACTTTAAATGTCACGACAGCTAATGTAAAATCCGTTGTACAGATTGAAAACATTTCGAATGGAAAGATTCTTTGTCTTCTTGAACTGAAACAACCCTATAATCATTTAATGCATACGATTTTCTTCCGATGGCGAGCTCAGCTGACCCAGATAACAATGCCTTAAAGTTTAGAAAGTTCGCGAAAGTATTAACAGCACCATCGTTAGTTATGAAACTTTAAAGCAGCTTGTCTGGGTGACGTTTTCTTATTAAATAAAAAAAGAACCTGGAGAGTTTGTGGCATTGTCGAAATCATACTCAATACTAGCGGTGATACCTGCCTCCAATGCAAACTATCCATCGGAATTGAAAATATTTTCATGGTAATTTCGAATAATCGTGAGCCACAGCCTCCTTTGTCGAAAACTTACGAATACATTCAGCCAGGATTTGTTGCAGAAGAATATCGAATATCACCGTACTCGTTGCATGCAGGAGGTATTTACTTACTAGTCAAAGAAAGACCTGTATCCAGTCGAGCCATTGTAAACTTACAACCGCTGATTTCTTCGGCTAGCGTCGCTCTTATTTTAGTTCAACATAACGAAATAACATCATCAGTTGAAGGTTGTATGTGTTACGCCTTACGTTGGTCCTACTGCTAAGAGCTCGTACAGCT